AAATAACTAAGAACAGAGTACCTACAGAAGAACTTATTATACACGAGTATAACATACATGGCGTTACTTGTACGTTTTCTCAAACATCAGCCTGGGAACTGTGCCAAATTGTTTTCACTAAAAACATACACAGTTTACAGCAAAGATCACTGCCAAGTAAGCGGTAAATGCAAATCACTCACTAAAACGGAATGTATCTTGTAAACGGTTCGCTATCAAATACTCAAGCTCTTGTTTCTCTTTAAATGACGGACAAAGTATGGAAGAAGAAAAAGTTCATGAAAATTGACCAAACTTAACAAATATTAGTATAAATTACTTTGTTAACAGCGGTAATTTCTTGCTTGCGGCCTTAGGCATAAAGTTAAAAATTAACTGAAAAACATGAACAAAAATGAAAAAACCCATGAGCTCACATAAGTTAACGAAAAGTTGTGAATTTTTACATTGAATTTTAAGACATTCCGTTCTTTTGTATGCTGACGTATTGTGTATCATGTCATAATAAGTCGTATGGTCCTGACAGTTCATTTGCATTAACCTGTTTGCTTACTGAAAACATCACCTCGATCAACTATGTAATAATGTTGGTACATACACAGTTTATACTTCGGAAACATTCCTGGAAATTGTAACTAAACCGAGCGAGGTTATCATTCATTTTATCACGATGATTCAATAAACACTAATAGATATCTATTCTCTTTATGATTAACCACTGTCATGACTAAATCATTTTCTAACACGTCTCAAAGAAAAAAAGTATTAGAAAATATAAAAAAGTTTTTAGTACAGTTATTATTTCAAAACGTTTCTTGAGTGATAAATAATGAATTTAATTCAATTCCAACTGCGATACGAATTTATATCTTTGTTGAAATATTTATACTGACCCACTTAGACTTAAATTTTAGAACGTAAACAGTCTCGTGCAGTCTCTTACATGCTTAAATATTGGAATTTAAGATTTTAACGATCTGAAATCTCTGTCATGAAGACAGGAATCTTTGTATACGCCTAACTTTTATATTATTTGAAAAAAGAAAGTTTAATAGGGTCTCCATTTTAATAACAGCTTACATTAAGGTGTGCAAAAAAATGAAAAGAACAAAAAAATAGTTTAGTTTCTTTAAATTAATGAAGTAACTGCTTATTTAAATTGTGTTTACCTTACGTAATAAAAGCCGTATTTAATGATCAAGTGACCAGTAAATAAATATTAATATATTTTATTATAACATCGATCACTAAATCTTATCCTAAATATCTAATACTAATGGTAAATTATTAAAACTATCAGTTAAATGTAATACATAAGAAAAAAAATATTACAATACAATATTCCACAGCTATACTCTACTTTTTGATGTACATATATTAACATCCAAACTTCCAGGATCGTTCCGGGTAAACTGAACCATCTAAATACCTCGTTAACCGCCTACGCCTTTCAGAGATAATAAAACACTCTTGTTACTTAAGGGACTTCTACGACATGAGTATTATTACAGTAATAAAACTTGATGGTTTGCCATTTTCAATCGTTCCAAAACCAACGGCCCAGCAGTACGAAACCAACTAGATGTGTGACGACCGTACTTACAATCATAGATTTAGTATATATACTAATAATCATATTTAAATACTATTACTTGTAAATACTAATCATATGTATCGGAACAAAACTGGGTATTCACTTTCATTACTGGGCTGACATAGTATTTATTGTATGTTTCGATTTCCTTTCACTTGATGATTTTGCTTGAATATGTTCGTTATATTTTGCCGAATTTTCACTTTATTCGGTTCTAATAATGCCAAATGGGCGCGTTTTGATTTTCACAAACATTTGAATTACGTGATAATTTCTTGTATTTAGGAGGCTGAGGCGTTAGACATCTGAATGTCAATGTTAGCCCAGATTACCGCAAGTTCGCACCATTTCCCCTATTTTAATGTTACGAAATTAATTGGGCCATACCTTGTGATAGTTCTCTCACGGTTAAAAGGACACAAGATCGTACACAAAGGATTCTTACCATTTTGTTAGTGAGATAAAAAAAATATGCCATGCTGACTATGAAACTGAAAACTGACAATGGTCAGATCAGATCCTAGAATACAGTTGTATCTTTTTTTATGTGAGAAGGTGGCAAGTGACCTGGCGGTTCACCTGTTGTTAAGTGATAACCACCGCACATTGACATTTGCAACACGTTGCACATAGATACGTTGCCACCTTTTAATGAAGTGGTCCCCGACCACCTCACTCACCAGACGAAACGCAGAAGTATGACACTTCCAGTTCACGCCGTTCTTCTGTAAGGTCATATGGTACTTACCTGTCGGACCTGTCCATTCGTGCAACAGCGAAGACTGTTTAGGGCCCTACCACAGGAAATCTAGAAGTTATAAATTGCCAAACAAGTATGCATAACTACTAAAAACATTGCCATAAATTTGGCTACTTCCTTTGGATGGAAGAGTTTTGCACACAAATAGGTGTTTTTTTATTCAAAACTGGTCAGTACTTGACTGCCATCCCACCTGATGGTAAGTGGCAATGCAGCCCTTGATGGTAGCCGCGCTAGCTCAGTAAAAAACAATTCACTCTTGCCTTGAAGATGCATAAGTTGTAAGACGGACGCCGGGAGGTTGTTCCATTCCTTAGCTGTACGAATGATAAATGACAAAGCTAATCGCTTCGTTCTTGTGCGTGGAACGTCGACAGCATAAAGGTGGAGCCCCGTCGAACGCCCACTTGTTTGATGATGGAAACGAGCGGGAGGAATCGGATCGTACAACTCCAACACACACTCTCCAAAATGCATCCTGTAGAAAACCGAGAGACTGGCTACTCTGCGCCCGTGCTCAAGTCTAGTGAGGTTGGTTTTAACCAAGTAACGGTCACCAATGAGCCTTTCCGCAAGCCACTTCATTGAGTCCAAGGCAGATGGCTATTTGCAGCCCCAGCCCAGATATGGCAGCATTACTCATCACACGATCGGAATTAAGCTTTGTATAGAGTAATAAGTTATCCCTGTGTGAGGTACCGTCGCACCTTTGCAAGGACGCCCAACTTCCATGCGGCTGCTCTTAGCTTTAGACTCAATGAACCGCCTAAACTTGAGATTTGAGGATATTTTGACTCCCAACAACTGAGGGCGGTCGGTATAATCCAAGGACACATTCCGGAAAGGGGTAGTCAAGATGAATGGGCGGAAAAAAGACACACGCATGCGTTTTTACCACCAGCAATGTAAGATTCAAACGCTCTACCATGTTCTCTCTTTCAGACTGGATGAGATCTCTACTCTCCCTAATACTCGATTGTTATTTCTTCACAGCTGTGACAGTCAGATGTCTAACGCCTCAGTCAGTCTGCCCTATGACCTATAGATGTTTAGCTATAAATTTTTCGAAACGTAAAATTGTATTCTTTTAATTACGGTTTAAAATAGACATTAGCTAGAAAAGAACTATAACTAATATTATGTAAGTATATACCTAGTGGTACATATGTATTGAATAAGCAAAGTTACATATAGAAACTGACAACATGATGCGCGCATGGCTAATTTATCATCAAAACTTATCACACGTGGATCTTAGTGAGCTTATTTCATTAGATACATAGATTTTAACAACGTTTAATCTCTATCAATCTAAAATTGTAGGTTAAATACCAAGATAATTGTGGATTTCGTGAAAATCATTATTTTATAATCTTACTGATTTATTAGTTACTAGATTATTAGATAAATTAGAGATATTGGATTTCCTCCAGATTAATTTAATAAGAAAAAAGATTGACAACAAATTACAACCGGAGAGGGAGGGGGGGGGGGGGGCAACTTTTTCCGTTTCACAAGAGCCGTCTTTAAGAAAAAGTGACCGACAACTATTTTCCAACACGATGCGATGGTTATTTTTTTTTTATCTTAACGATAACTTGAACGCGGCCGCTTAACGGTTGCGCTAACTTTGTCTTATCATTAAACGGCAGAAGAAATTCCATTTGTCATGCCTCAATTCTTAATTTCTGTAGCACGGATTTGAGTACCGTCGGCAAAGAACACGATATTTTAATATTTTTTATCAGTACCTAATAATTTAATATTTATATTATAAAAATTACGAAATTTTCCAAACGAAAATAATAATTATAAATGAATATTTACCAATAGCGTCCTAGGCACCATCCTGTGTGGGCTACATTTATTAAATAACGCCTAGTTTTAATGTAAAAGCTTTAGAAATATAATAAGAAAAATCACACATTGGAAGCAATATTTACTCTACTCTAACCAAGTATAAAATTCTGATGAAATTTACAGGCAATCTTCAGATTAGCCCAGTGGGTGATCTTGTGAAGTTTGGTAGCGATCGGATCAACGAAATGGTCCGTCTTAGACTGGGGCGCTATGTTTTAATAATAACGGCAGAAAATAGTTATTGTAAATAAGTTATGGCACAATATTGAAAAGAGTAATTGAATGTAAATCGTATATTCTTTATGAATGGATGCGATCATCGAATTATAATTGTTATAACAATAACAATTAACAAAGCTTCGTTCTCACACTCGCGTAAGAGCAAAAAAATCGTGCGTCGCAGTTGCTCTCAGTAATGTTGACATTCCAAAAATATACGTGTTACTGGAGCAGATAAAAATAGGTTGGGAATGCCATTAATGTTGTTATGACAAAAAATGTATTTGATCCATAATAATGCTGAAACACGATTACTGTAATATTTTTTGTTGCCTGTCGTCTGTTTTATTTATTTAACCTACATTTTAACTTTACAGTACATGTTTTGAAATTATTAAAATGTATATTTAATGAGCCTTTATTAATTTAAATAAAATAAAATACAATTTTCTTATTCAAAGTACCTACACTATTTGTCTAATAAACGTTCAGTAAAATAAAAAAAAACATAAGTACGTATTATTTTGGCTATTTTTATTATGTACTTCGGCCAATATTAAATCTTAAATGCGTCTAATCTCATTGGTGCGACGGTGAGTGCAATAAAAATGAGTTGCAAACCGAGTGACTTAATTTAATCCAACACAAAAAGTCAAATTAAAAGATTTTCTACTTGTGACATAAAGATAAAAGCGACATCTGAACTTACTTTAATCATCGTATACGCTGTATGACATAAATTTTTAAAAAAAGAAATCGATACCAGATATTCAGGGTCAAATTCGAAAAATTTTGCATATTATTATGATGATAAAGGTAAAAACGAGGACATGAACTGAGACAATTTACTAAAAAATCTTACAAAATTAGAAATTGATTAGATATAAACAAAAAAGATAAATTTGTAGATTTATTTTACGTGCTTATGGTCAACATTATCTATTATCTTAGTATAAATGCCTTAAAGTAACAGTGAACTGATAACAACTTATTATTATTATCTATAACTTAAAATTAAAAATGACATTTTAAATAAAATAATTCTATAAAATGTAATATTACAAAAAGACATTTCTATTTTGCGTCATGTAAACTTAACAATTTAGTGCAACATGTATGGGAAAATGTTTTTATATCGAAAATATTTAGTAAAACCTATAATAGCCTAAATATTAAGATTAAACAGTTTACCTCAGAAGTGAAGTCACTTAAACTACAAGTACAGAATTAAAACACACGAACTGGGAAGCACTAACCACCATAAAAATCAAACAATGCTAACTTTGTAAACACAACACTAACGCGCACCCAATTTTCTGCTGGGGAATATTACTTTACAACGGGAAATAATATCTTAATAGATTTAAGAATAGACACCAAAATATTCCTCACTTCGAGGAGCAACGAGTGAAAGTTAACTATTGTGAGGTTATGTTATTGTTATGATAAAACGAAACGTCGACACAGTCCGAACTCCACTTTATTACTGAACGAACCGACTGAAGTGAATTGCGGTCTGCGAAATGGTTACTATTAGCGATATGCGTCGCCGTCGCCGCTTTGCATTCTCGCTGTGACACTGAAGAATCACGTAAAGTAACGTACCATTATTTTTGAATCTTGTTCATAGTTGTGACTTTTTTTTTCATTTATATATTGACGACCTTTTTAATTTAATCCGACCACGTTTCTTTCACTTAATACATAATCTTAATTGATAAAATAATCATAATTGAAATGATAGTATTAAAGATTGGAGGAGGTAGGATAAAGCTGACATTTGATAATGGAATTCATTACTTTAGAAAACAAAGAGATGATGGCATTAGGCCAATAATTCAAAGAATCTAAGCATTCAGCTTTTTTAGGGATAGTGGGTACTAGAATCACTAAATTACTCTTTCATGAATTTAGAACATAGAAGAACTCAAGCACTTAAGAATTTCGAAAAACGAAACCAAACAAAACTAGGGCTAAGTTGGGAGCACATATTGTAAAACAATGGGCCCACGCGTGCCTATAGAGAAAAGTGCTACGAATGAAATACAAATAAATTCACTAAACTTATTTCTTTTAATACTTTAGGACACACTTTCACACAACGTTCTCTAGTCCCAAAATGAAGCAAGGCTACAGTGTACTATGGCTACTAGATATCAGACACGATTAAATGTACTTTTATTTAGTAGTAGTTTTAGTTTAGAAATACTTTGAATATATAAAGAAATGTCTGAGTCTGGGACACTGGAAAAATTCATCGCACAATATTTTGCCAGCAGTAGGAGTCGAACCCACAGAAAAGTTTTCTACTAATGCATGATATTTCTCGAAATTAAATATATTAATTAAAAACTAAGTACGAAAATACATTATTAAACTATAAAAAAAAAAACGTGGCACTCGGGGACTGCCGTGGTAAAGCTATTGCATAGCATTTTTTATTATCTTACGGAATTATAATTATTTATTTATTTTTTATTTATGTAGTATTTTTTTTCTTTGATATTTAATCAAAGTTACACTTTTTGAGCGTGGTCACCGATAAGAAAACAATTCTTTTTTCTTTTATTGAATAAATGAGAAGTTTAAAGATTTTTATAGTGCTAATCTCTGCACTTAAGATTAAACATTTAAACTTGCGAAAAGATTGTCACCGCTGTGGGAATCGAACCCTCGGTATTCGCGGCCTGACGCTTTAACCACTAATCTAATGGGCTGATTGCCACACCGACGAAAATCTTAACATCTTTTATCTACATTGTTTTTTAGCAAGGCATATATAACAATAGATGCCCCAAGCATTGCTTCAAATGTCAATTTGTCAACTTTATTTGAAACTGTAATTTTTCCACTTTCGCGTTTGCCAAGGTACTATTTCAAACTATAAAAGTTCCTGTTTTCCTTTTTCTGTGTCAAGAAAAACAGCAAATTTCCGGAACGCTTATGTAGGCTTTAACAAATGTCAATCAATTAGTGGACATCTGATAACTGAAATTATATAGATGATAAAGGTAAAAATAAAAATAAGTGGGCGTGGGCGGCATCTCTCAGTTTTTGCCCCACCGAAAAAAAATTTAAGACTCGTGGCTGATACCTGACCCACACTTGGTTACTGAAATAATTTAATATTATTCTTTCATAGACTGCCTTAAATTGATTTCTTATCCAAAAATCCAAGTTCTGTGATTATCGCTGCTATGGACATAACACCTGAAGGATTGCAGATGTGTTGCATGTATTGAAATCATACCAAGGGATCCGTACCATTATCTGTAAAAAAAGGCAAAAAAATGATGTCTGTTGTATGGGAGCCCTATCTAAATATTATTTATTCTTTTTTTGTATTTGTTTTTATAGCGACAACAGAAATACATCATCTGTGAATATTTCAACTATCTATCACGTCTAACTATCACGGTTCATGAGATATAGTCAGATAGACAGACTGACAGCGTGGTCGTAGTAAGAGGGTCCCGTTTTACACTTCGGGTAGCTAACCCTAAAAATGGACACCTCACTCACCTGACGAAACTCGAAAGTATAATACATACTTCAGACAAATAAAAATGATGTACAGAACATTGTGTTCACATAAGGACGGTCGCTCGGCAGTCTCCTGCGCCCCCCATTATATTATATGTATTACGAAGAGTACTTTTGTATATATGTATTATCTACTAGCTGCCCGGGCAGAGTTCGTTTGTTTTTTTATAGTATTACAACCTTCCGTGGACCTTAAGGAACATACAAAAAATAAATTAGCCGGATTGGTCCAGCCATTCTGGAGTATGCGCTTACCTACATTCATTTTTATTTATTACTAGCTGATCCCGCGACATCGTCCTCGTGGAATTATATTGTATATATTAATAACAATAAATAAAATTTTCTAAACTAAAAGTAGCCTAAGTTACTCCTTATTACATCAGCTATCTGCCAGTTAAAGTCCCGTCCAAATCGGTCCAGCCGTTTCAGAGATTAGCCGGAACAAACAGACCGACAGACAGATAAAAATTAAAAAAAAATGTTATTTTGGTATGTGTACCGTGTATAAATCCATATGCATTTAGTAAAAAGCGGTTATTTTAAAATTACAAATAGACACTCCAATTTTATTTATCTGTATAGATGAAGATGGAGCTGAAAAACATCCCATAAAAATTATACAAGCAAGACAAATAAAACACAATAAAAACCAATAATAAACCTTTTCACCGAAGTATATCTATCGCCCTTGGAAGTACAACTTTATACTTTGACCGAGACCGGAAAGGCTTTCGCATGGATTGGTGTCACGAAATTTTAGAAAAGTTCAACAGAGGTGACTCTAATGCCTTATTTCACATTGTCTCAAGAGATGAAAGCTTTATGTATTGCTACGAACCCGAAACAACGAGACAATCTGCTCAGTGTGTGTTTCCTTTTGAGGATCCATCCATCACTCATTACAAACATAATTCTCCAGAAATTTTAAATATAATATGATGACATTTTAGAAGTGTGCTTTCTACCGGTTTATTTTGTTCCTTTCTTTCATTTGACATATCACCAGAACCTGTTTTAGCAGAAGTGAAGAAAAATTAACCGTCCGTGGATAAAGGCCGAAAGGGGTCAGTGAAAGATACTTCGTTGTTTAATTTTCGTAAAGGATCGTTCGTATGTAGTATGTATGTCTCATGGTTAAATCATAGTTACAAAATATTGCTTACTTATAACGATTAGATCGTATCTAGCCTAAGGTCTTCAATGAGCCTCTTCGCACGCCTGTGATTAATTGACTGAATGTCAAAAGCACATTGGCAAGCATTGGCATTAAGGAGCACCTGCATAAATTTTGCAGCCGTATTGAACACATGACCGAATTTGTGCTTTATTTAAGTTTTGAAGCTGTCCCGCCGATGGAAAGTACCGCCGGAGGGTAGCAACGTTAACTAACTAACTTGCAGCTGCTTCAGCTTCAGCTGCCCAAATGTGAAGTTTTATTAAATCTCTATTCCAAGCAATTGAATGCGGTCGACACAATCCAAATTCTCTTTCTGGAAAATAGGAGCCAAGGTGTATGGAACCATCCATGGTAAAAGACGTCTGAGTCTTGGTGGAATTGAACACAAGATTATTCCATTTAAATGCTGCCTGAAAAGTGACAATCTCTTTTTCGGACTGAATTTCATTTGGTTGCTCTCCACATTTAATTTGTCTTGTGAGAACTAATAGATGCTGGATATAGACAGATTGTTGATATTAGCAAAAATAGGATTCAGGAAAGAATCGACTCCCGAGGAACTCTGGCGTTAATTATCATTGGATCTGATGAAAAGCCATCGAAGAGATCGTTCATTTAGAAACTCCTTTATTCAACCACGCAGACCAGAAAATATGTATTACATTAGAGGCTTGTTAATAGGGCTTACGTGCCCAACCTTAAAAAAGTACTTCAAGAAATCAAGGGAACACCGCAAGTGCTTCACCGTGGTTCTCGAGGGCCTTGTTCCAAATATCCAGAGGTAAGTAGTATACATCAGTAGGGCCACAGTCGACTCATTTCGGTGAAATCCATATTGCCAGTCGAAGAAGGTCATTTTTTTCTTTTTAAAAAACATTTCCTTTAGTTTAGGATAAAATTATGCTGTGTCTTAAGGACGTTTTGCAAACATAAATTTCACGTTGACAAACACCCAGATGCGAAACAACTATCAGTGGCTCATAAAAATATTTGTTCCGTGTGGGAATCGAACCCCCGACCCCCGACAAGTAGCAAATACCATAGAAGCCAATATCTTGGCAACTGCGCCACGGACTCATCTAATTGATATTGATCTCCTATTTTATAGTATGTAAAGGTGGTTGTTCAATATACACTCAGTAATCTTCAGGGACAGCTGACAACCCTTTCTATGTACAGGCTGCACATTGGTGCAAAACTGTTGTTGTAAAGAGTCGTAAATATCGGCGAAAAAATATTGAAACTAAAACATTGTATTATTTGTTCAAAGTGAAACAATAATAAGGAGATAATAAAATTTTGTAGTTTTCTTTTAAACTTGGTTAAATATAATATGAAAAAAAAACTTTACAAATTATTGAATGAAACTATTTTACGGGTATTATCACGTTTTAATTTAAATTTTTCATTTCCATTTTTCGGTATTACATTTTCATTTCCATAATTTAATTAGGAAACCCATTGATTCTCCTTCGCAATTACCTAGTGTCGGTAAATGTTTGTTACAGACAGCACGAGGGATTTGTGACAAGGAAAACCTCACGACCGAGTTACACAATGTAAATCAAGTCGTGCGTCACAACTAGTTTCAAACCCGCCCCTACGTCAAGCCGCCTTAGAAGTTCATTAAATTTTTATTATCTGTCAAGTGTAATATCCCCCTACAAGTTCCAGGAGTGTACAATCTTGACTACAAATGTGTGCTCTCTAATATAGGACAAACTTAAAAATCACTAAAGACAAGAATAACAGAACAGCTGACGTGAAGCACCGACGGTTGAAGAAGCCTGCAGTTTGTGATCATATTTAGACCGCCTCAATCACTACTTTAGAATCCGACAATCCTCGCAGAGGATACTCATTCCTCCCAAAAATGATCCGCAAGACTATTAAAATAAGGGCGCGGTTAATGATCAGCTTGGGATCTATAAGGGGTTTATAAAACTAAATTCAAGCTCACTGACACTAATAGACTACACTGACTCAAGATACTAAACACTCATTTTGCGTAGATCGGAATAGAAATAATGGACAGTAGCCCGTGTTAACTTTAGCATTAAAACGTCAAATTACTCACTCTATCCTGTAAACATAAATGGTAAGGGTTCAAAACGTCCGACATCTGTGGAGGAGAACTCATCGTCCTTGAAATCCGCTCCCGCAGCCATTCCACCTGCAAGTCGTTTGTGAACGCTGCGTGAAAGAGTACTAAAAAGCAACAGTAAATAACAAAGGTTGACACCGCCATCCCAAAGCGTTAATCCATCAGCACCGGAGGATACCGCCACTGCAATGACAGCAAAGTCCTTCCTAGAAAACACTGCCCCACGGTCGAACACTTCGGCAAGGAGCTACAACTTCGCGCACTCGACACAACCGGATCCAACCAACTCGCTCATGCCAGGACAGACATCAAAACTAACCTGCAGGAGACTGGGGATGTAAGGAGTTGGCTGGAATTTAAGACAAGGGTACCTTTTCAAAAGGCCACAGAAGCACAAAAGGCGCCGCAGGCCGCAGTAAAAATGCTAGAGGAAATCCGTAAGACCCTAGCCCAGTCGAAAAAGGAAGGCAAAACCACACAAGAGTTAGGGACACTGAAACAAATATCAACTCAAAATAAATCTGACACAAATCAGAACCTCAATCACAACCAACAGTTGCAAGAACCTGGAGCCCCTAACGGAGCACCTGGAGGCATTGCACTTGTAGTAATCCGAGACGTCCTCTCTTATCACACAGACGCCGAGATAGCGTAAGACTTAAGATCGCAAAACAAAAAGTGGAGTTTGACATACGGGAAAAATCAAATGTTTCATCTTATGTGCAGAGATTAGCACTATCAAAATTTTATATAGCAATTAATGCGCCAAGCATTGGTGGAAATGCGAAAAAACAACGTAAATAAAATTTGTGGAGTGTTCCGGACGACGTCATCGTGAACCAGCTTCGTTGTTCTGCTGAGTCCGCGGGTCGTCTGCTGAAACCACATGTCACAAAAAATATGTAGATAAAACACGTTGCGATATTCGTCGGTGTGGCAAACAAGCTAGTCAGTCAGTAGTCATTAAAGTGAAGGGGCGCGAATCCGGAAGACCTAGGTTCCATTCCCGCAGCAGAGAGATAAAGAAAGAAGAGACTTTCCATCCATTTTTCTACAAATTTTATGATTCATCTTAAGTGCAGAGATTAGCATTATAAACATTTAAAATTTTGTATTTCTGTTTTAAGGAAATTGTTAACATAAGCTGATAATGATTAAAAAATAAATAATTACTCTTTCACAAACAGGCGGGTTTAGTTTGAATTTAGTAGATTTTGTGATTGCCTTGAAAGTTTTTTGAGGAGATATGCATGTTGGGATTTTTTTAGGGTGCAAACAAGTTTAGGGCCATAAATAATATTTCATGAATCAATATTTTCACTGACCAGTGATTAAAATAAAAGGAAAATGTCTATTAATTAATGTCACTAATGAAATGTTTGTTAATATCGTGTTGCTTTGTTAACTATTTCAACTATTTGTAATGAAAGGTAATTAAAACTCTATTTTATTTACCTTAACAAAACGTAAAACTCATTTAAACAATATATTTGAATACAATCCAGGGCTATTTTTGGGGCTTTTGAAAAGTGCATTTAGAGTTATTTACGGCTATGCTTTTTCATCAGTTCATCTTGATTTTAGGGACATTTCTTTTTAGTAGTTGGCAACACTGTTAAGTCGTCATCGTCAGTCGTCAGTGTCAGTCAATTTAAAATTTTAAATTGAAAACAAACTGTTTCACATATTTTTCACCCAGTGTGAATGGTTTATTTATGTACCTTTAAGGAAACGAAGTCGTGGTAGGATACAAAAAGAAGATGATTAAAACAGCACCTTGGGTTGGGGGCACTGAAGAAGAATACGAAACGCAACATTTTGGTTTTGGAGCACAACGGCTTAAAATAGCGGTTAGACAAATGGTAGAGCAGAAAATCAAAACGGGAGTAAAAGATATGGAATCATACTTGCAAGATACATTAGAGCTGAACGATACAGATAAATTGACATTGACCCATTCTTGTGATAAATTAATAAAATTGTACTATGAAAGGGCTGGCCCCTGTTTAGGGGTAATTGACGAGGAAATTGAAAGAATATTAAAAATTCCCCATAATGTGTTACTACCTGGAGATGAGATTCAGTTACAACAGGTTTCAGATGAGGAATATAAAAACTTAAAAGAAGAAGTAGCTGCATTGAGGAAACGCGTAGAAAGGGGCGCTTTAATGGAGGCATTACTAATAGCTGAAGATGAGGAGCTTTCTTCTGTTGAAAAAGTTTGTGAAATTGCTAAGAAAGATATGGAAGTTTTAGATTTACTTCAGAGGAACTATGAAGGAAACGATAATATTAAATCTATTCAAACTGATACTCAGTTTTTATGTGCCAGTGTACCTTTTCTTAAGAATAGTGATTCTATATTTGACATTTAATGCATGTATTTATATTATTTGATATAATTTACTTCAGATTATGTTATTGAACCTAATTCTACTAGGAGAATGAAGTCTTTTGTTACAATTCTAATTAGTAATTTTGTGTTTTATTTCTAATAACATTATTTTCTTAAAAGAAAGGGGTGAGCATTCACATGATATTAAATATAGACCGGTTATATTGAATAAAGAAATTTGAGTTTGAGATACCGCACATTAAGCACCTACGGGGTTGATGATCCATTGCCAACAATAAGTCCCCAGTTACTTCTATGATCAAATAACAAAAAAGTGCTTTTCTGTGAGGCGGTAATACTTCCTAGGATGACTCGAGAGTTGCAAAATGATCTGGCTATGTGTGTAACCATCGATTTTCTCGATGGGTGGACCTAGCAAGCTGAAATTTATACCATATACCGAGTTCTACAGTCCTTATTAGGCCAATAAAGGTCCTGAGTCAATACTATAAAAGGATATGGGCAAATTTAGATTTTCGCGAAAACTTGTTTTTTTATTTTTCCGAATTTTACCTTTAGTTGGGCTGTAAGATCTTTCTTTTAACTAAAATTGACAATTCTCCGGAAGTACCTTTTTTGGGTCGAAAGTATTTTGTATAAATTACAACCAGAGTCCTGAGAAAACTGGTAGTGATTATTTGTTGTGGCAGTTAAGTGGGTTGGCAAGAAATCCTCGGCGTACAAGTTCGACTCGCACTTGTTCTTGCTAGTTTCTTCCACTCAGAATGAAGTTTTAAATTATTTGTAGATAAATGAACAAAAACTTTCGGCGCTGCGGGATTCGAACCTGCGTCCTGTGGTTTCGCGCCGAGACGCTTTACCAAATAAGTAGACATAAATAAGCGGCCGATGACCTCACGGCGCGAAATTCTCTTCATCTACGTTTTTTCTACATTCCTGTCTAGATATTTAAAATTAATTAACACTGCTTGCTTGTTATTCTACTGCGTTGCCAGTGCTGTAAAGTCTAGGGTTAATTTGTATGTATGGAGTTACGCTACTATTTCGCTCACAATTAAAAAAAAATCGTTTCAAATTGCAATTTCATAAAAAATTTTATCTAATCTGTCATGTCAATAATACAGTATATATCCTTATAACTTTAATTAAAATGACCTTTTATCAAAACAGGAAAATAGAATTATTCCGTTTTAGATAAAAATTTAAATAAAAACATTGATTATTCGAAAAACCACACTTAAGCTGGGCAATAAAGAAATTCAAACAGTAAATTTGTTCTTTAATATAAAAACACAACTTACACAATAATCCATATATTACCAACTATCAGAGAATAACAACAATACATTCAATCAGTTCTAATAATTTTTTCTGCTCAATAACATCATGACTTTTAATTCTATTATAGAAATAAAAATTTCCAAAAAAGACTTCAAGTCCCAAAGAAATCATTTCATCACTACATAGTATAAAACAAAGTCATCCCGCTGTCTGTCTGTCCCTATGTATGCTTAGATATTTGAAACTGTGCAACGGATCTTGATGCGGTTTTTTTTTTACCAGATAGAGTGATTCAAGAGGAAGGTTTATATGTAAAATACATTGCACCTGTGTGAAGCCGGGGCAGCTCGCTAGTAATGTATAAATTGGCACAATCAAGAACATTAAAGTTTAGAGAATCTTCTTAGTTTCATTATAAATAAATTATTCAATTTATTTTCTGAAATGACAAAGATTTCATATTCACATTTTTGATATCACATTTATGTATATTATGCTACAGTCACATTTATAAGAAAATGAGTTCAACTCTCGCAAAAACGAATATACAACAACATTGAACAATCACTGGGTAACAAGTATTACATTTGCTAATCTCCACATTTAAGGCTTAAGAAGTTTTAAAAATATATCTGAATTTAGAAACCATGTTATATCATCTCTACAAAATATGTTATCTAATATTTAATATGGAAGATAAAAATACTAACGTGTATTGTTTTTAAACAATAAAAACTTTGAACTCTGGTAACTCTACATTGGTAATATAATTTTAATTGGATGAGTATTTATTTACAATATTGTTTTAATTTTAATATTCAAGCAGTTTTACAATGTGTGTGTTTGATATGACATTCTATTTAATATCAATATTATAGAAGAGGAGAATAAGGAAGCAGATAGAGAAAATTTAATATTCAATGAAGGGGATGATACATAAATGGTAACACTACAGTTATTCATAAAATACACCTAATATACAACAATTTTTATACAGATGCTAAAGCAGTAAATATTAAAAAGGAATGAAACAATTATCACAGACATGAAATTAAATATAACTCAGTATTTAATGATAACGTTTTTACAAACTTTTAGAATTTATGCTTTATTTGATTTTATATTTACAAACATTTTTTTATTATGCTTAGACTATAATTTATTTTCTGTAATAGGTATATCATACTAATTATATGTGTATATTGTACTTAATAGATGAACTTTGCAAGTTTAATATCTCCCTTTGATGGAATCACCAATATACTTTGTTTACAATAAAGATTTTCACTTGTAACTTTATTGTCTGACCTATATAACTATAGCTATATAGCTGTTAAATTTTAAGATACTGTTACAACAGTATTTGATAAAACATATTTGTGTTTTAAGTATTATTATTAAATGTATAATATAATTTAATGTTATATATAATAAAAATAATAATATATAACTTAATGTAATCTGCATGTTCAAATTTGTTTGTATATTATAACCATAATACATGTTTTGACTTTTGAATTCTAATAAAAAGTGGACTTCAAAATATATAGGACATGTAATCCAAATTAACTGCTTCCCAAATTAACATGGTCCTAATAACTTCTTAGGGATTTCTATACTCAATGAATTAATGAAAATATAAAAATATATGTACATCACAAATTGTTTTTTTTTATTTGTGTTAATGTAATGAATTGTAAAGAAATGAATATCAAGTAAAAAAATAGTAGTTAATAATATTCAGGCCAATAACATAAAATGTATGGTCACATACATGTAGATATTTTATCAAATTGATATTATTCAAAGAATAGAATTTAATTCTTTCCTTTTCCATATAATCTACTTATATCTCTTTATTATTCATAAATGATGATGATGCTATATTGATTTATAACTAGCAATGTTTTAATAATAATATTTGCCAAAACATTTTAACATTGATTTTGAACATACAGTTTGTTAATTTGTGTTGAAAATATTGTATAATCCTCTGCTTGTAAGCAAATAAATTGTACAGCTTATGAAAAATAGCTTTTCATTCAGTTGAACACAAAATATTATATTGGCAAGAATACTATTGTTAGATAGATAAAAATTATATGAAGTATTCAATATTCTTGTTTATTTTTTAAACATCCTACTATGTACTACTGGCGTATTTCCTAAAGCTCTTGTTTGCATAATTTTACATTGCATGTACCTAAAGTTATATTTTAATACTTAAAAGTTGTTTGCATAAAATGAACAGTACACATCATAATAATTTCTTGTATTTACGCGATTACACATTATAAATGAAACTAATTTTACGGATTTATCGCGTTTATTTTTAATTTTAGTTCCCGACGTTTCGAACCCTTTAGTAGATTAAACAAGTCTGCAGTTTGTGAGCACACTCTAAATCAGCCCAACCACTACATCAGGTTTGATAGACCACAGATCCTTGCAAAAGAACACCGATTCCTCCCGAGGATGATTCGCGAGGCTATTGAAATTAAAAAAACACCCTAATTTCAATAGAGAAGAGGGTTGGGTACTACCATCAGCTTGGGATCCTATCATCAATAAAATTAAATCTAAGCCCAAAAGAACCACTACTGCAAGACAAGATACAATTAGCTCCCTCTGCATAGATCGGACACAAAATCAATAATACAAAAACTGACGGTAGCCCGGGTTAACTTTGACAATCAGACGTCTAACACCTCAGTCTGTCCCGTGACCATGAACGCTGTAAAGGGTTCGAAACGTCGGGAACTAAAATTAAAAATAAACGCGATAAATCCGTAAAATTAGTTTCATTTATAGTACACATCATATATATACACAATACCAATCCTACATAAAGTGTGTCTTGCTATATAATTATAGTCTTGTAAACTATCTGACTAGATTAACTTATTTTATATTAACAAAAGAAAATTATATATTTTCTTTAAAAAAACTGTTTCCTAGGTTTAAAACAACTGTAAGTAACGATAATGAGAGCATTTTTATATTAAAAACGCTTTTTTTACAACCACACATGTCAAGTATTTTTCTGATAAATGCAAGTTCTTCATTTGTTTTCATACATAAATAAATTTTACGGGAACGAAATTTTGTTCATACTTCTAAAATAATTCTTCAAGAATGATTATAATTGTCTTTAAATGTTTTGAGAGATAGAGACTGTATAAGTTGCGGAAGTAAATAAGTAATTTTTATATATTATTTTTTTTTAACACTAATTATAATATGAATCAAACATAATTTAACTATCATAATAGCTTGAACAATACACGGGAACTCAACAGAAATCGACCCCTGGCTCCTATCTATCATGTTGGTCCAAATGCTCTAAATGATTCAATGTTCAATCTCGGCAATATTAGAACGGCATTCGCTCGCAAACTTTTTTAAGCACTTCGCAAGTGTTTGTTACTACAAACAGTTCCAAATACATTAACGGACTAATTATTCACATCTCAACTATATACATTCAACTTGACCTATATCTAGAATGTGTCAGAATTATGACTATTGCGGTGTGGTTTGATGAGTTTGTTTGTGATGCGAATTCGGCGTGGTAGTGGCACCGTTGCTATATGTTCGCGACACGGTTGCAGTGCGTTCGCGACTCGTTTTCGGCGCGGTTGCGCTGAGATTTTGATATCTGTGCGACGCGGTTGCACTGTGCTCGCGACTCGGTGTGATTTTGGTATTACTGCTACTTTCTTTCGGTGCAGTTGCGGTACATTTGCGACACGGTTGCAGTGCGCTCGCGGCTCGTTTTCTTTGCGGTTGCGGTGCCCGTTAGGTATCGTTGCGACATCATTACGGTGCGATTTCGGTATGTTTGCGACGCGTTTGCAGCGCGCGCGCCGGTGCGTTTACGGTGCGGTCGCGCTGCGTTTGCGGCGCAGTCAGACGAAGGCGGGCGGGCGCGGGTCGACGGCGGTGCGGACGCGGCGCGCGGCTGGCCCCGGCCACGCCCAGCCGCTGTCGCTCAGGGCCACCAGTCACACGGGCCCCGCCCACTCCACCACCTCCTGGGAAACAGCAAGCAGTGGCAGACAGTGGCACACAGCGGCGTTGTAGTTTCGCGAAGTTGCAACGAATGGTTGCTCCGAATTGAACATTATTTACATGGTGGAGAAGGCAAACTGATGGCAAAGTATTTTCTATATAAAGTCAATATTTAAACATGACTTCATTAAAAGGAGGCAACGCATCTGCAATCTTACGGGTGTTGCAGATGTACATCATGGGCGGCGCTTAACATCGTACTCAACATCAGGTGATTAGCCAGCTCACTTGCCATTTTATCACTTCAAAAAAAAATTAAAAGATCAAAGGAATTACGAATACGATACCCTTTTTGAGGTAAGAATGGGTTTTCTTCTTGAGGATCGCTAACTTACATTGGCACTGAAATACCTCTCGCCACAACTGATACCACAAAATGGCAGTGAGTGTCATTTCGTAAGTTTACTGCTAACTATGAAATTACTGTTGGTGTTTTTTCTCACACACAACTTAACTCAACTTTTAACTCCCACACACACACACAACAACTCCCCGAAACTCCGTTTATTTTTTTTTAACTTTTTTATAGTGCTAATCTCTGCACTTAAGATTGAACATTAAAACATGTAGAAAAAGTACGAAAAGATTGTCGCCGCTGTGGGAATCGAACCCGCGTCTTCGGCATTCGCGGCCTGACGCTCTAGCCACTGAGCTAAACGGCTGATAGCCACAGCGACGAACTGTACTGTTCGTACTTTTTCTACATGTTTTAATGTTCAATCTTAAGTGCAGAGATTAGCACTATAAAAAACTTTAAAATTTATAAAAAGCAATGGCGACATCTCTCGTTCGAATTATCGTTGTAAAACGATATTCGAATTTGTTTGTATGCTGGAAAGGATATAACAATAGATGCGCCAAACATTGCTTCAAATGCTAAATAACAATGTAGAAATAAGGCGTTAAGATTTTCGTAGCTGTGGCTATCAGCCGTTTAGCTCAGTGGCTAGAGCTTCAGGCCGCGAATGCCGAAGACGTGGGTTCGATTCCCACAGCGGCGACAATCTTTTCGTACTTTTTCTACATGTTTTAATCCGTTTATTTTATTTTTATTTTGAAACAATGTTGACATTGAAATTCGAAACGTGTTCTTATTTGAGGTCGCATTAATAGGTCAACAAATAGTTTTGGCTCCGAAATCCGAACACGCGGCCGGGGCGTCGAACCTGTGCGGTGGCGTTGGCGTGCGCGGGGCTGTGGGGCGCCGGCTGGCTGAAGTAGCCGCCGGGCCGCGGCCGCAGGTGCCGGTTGTGCATCTCCATCTGGACGATCTTCATGAACTCGATCTGGGCCGCGAGCTTCTGCACCTCCTCCTGTGGACGTCCAATGTATCTTGGAATGCTCTCCGCCGGGTGGGACAGAATGTTGAACAAGGTCACAAAGGCCGTGGTGGGTTCCAGCAGAACTGTAACTGAATTGCTAAACGCATTACGTTGGTCGTTTTATTGTAGCGCATTTGGTTGCGACGAAGTTCGAACATTTCAACAGTATGTGAGCATTATGATGGAGAACGTAAACTTTCAACCGATTTATAGACAGGGTCTCGAAATTAGCATCCAACGGTTCATAGGCCCTTGGCGTCTCAGCTAAAATAGTATTTACGAGAAGATTACACATTAATAAAAATATTCATATTAGCAATAATTATAAAAAAATATATAAAAAACGGCCCAGGTGCTCGCGGACAGTGCGTATTGAATGTACGGCCGTGATAGCTCATTGTACCTTTTAATTCAATATACTTTAGCAACCTGAGTTCGATCCCCGGCAGCGGCACCAATGAAATTGTTAATTTTATCTGATTATTTATCACGTGCTCAACGGTGAAGGAAGACGTCGCGAGGAAACCTGTACATTTTCGAAATGATAACGAAGAAAAAAAAATTTTTTCGGAAGAACGTGAAGCACTATGCCATGATACCCGGAGGTCTCCGTCCAGCAGTGGGGCATTCATGGGCCGTTACTTTATGTTCTACGTGGAGGGGGGCGTCCGACCTTGAGCTCCTCGTTCTCCTGGTAGAGGTCGGGCGGGTCGTCGGGCACCAGGCCGATGCCGTTGAGCGAGGAGGAGGCCGGCACGCCGCGGGCGCGAGCGCGGCTGTCCCACGTGTCGCCCGTGCCGCGCACCACCCGCATCACCTGCGCACCGTTCATTCAGCCTTGTGAAGCCGCTTGTGAAGTAAGTTGTGAAGCCAGTTGTGAAGTAAGTTGTGAAGTTAATTGTGAAGTCAGCTGTGAAGTAAGGTGTGAAGTAAATTGTGAAGGTGTGAAATAAGTTGTGAAGTGAGTTGTGAAAATTAAATCATGTGAAAAGTTGTGTTTCTTTTGCATAAACTATGTGTTATATCATATGCATAGATAACATAAACATTTGTATATAACTTATTTTATAACAAAATGTCTTTTTACCTTTGGTAGAAACACTAGTAAAACTGTGGTTGATGTGGACAGTTGTGTTCTTATGAAGCCTAGGAGGTATTTGATATCAGGCCCGGCCCGCGGCAGTATAAGTAAACTGAAAACAATATCATTACCATTATACATCATACTTTGTTCAAAAGAAAGCTTATAACCGCAGTCAGAGTTATTACTTAGCCCTTAATAAGCATGAAATTTGTTTATCAGTGTCTTGAAAACACTTTAAAACCGACATGCAAAGCAGCAAATTTAATGGAAGTGCTAATCGGAAGCTCCGATAATATGGTATGACGTAGTATACGTCGCTTTAGTAGTGTAGTGGCTTTTGCACGAACGGGCAGTTCCATCAGATTAAGTGCCACAACCGCACCCGAGACCGGCGTGAAGTGTAAGTGTTATGCTTCGACGTTTCGTCTGGAGAGTGCAATAGCCAGGTCATCATTTATTAGAAGGTAGCTACGCATCTGCAACCCTGCGGGTGTGGCAAACAACAAATGACGGCGGTTATAACGTCAGGTGAACTGCCAGCTCGCTTGCCAGCTTCTCACATAAAAAAGCCACCTTCATTCTCTTTCACAATAAGGGCCTTCAAGTTAAGTTATGTCAGGTTTATCTCTTCATTTCTCTGGAAGTGCAAGGTAAATACAGGTGAATGTACTTACTGAAATGCGATCATTAGTGAATTTACTGTAAATATGTTGTATATTGCGATGGATATTAGACGAGCTTCGTTATACAGGCTCTCGGCATGTCTAACTCGGTAGCATACTCTCACACCCCACAGCAGAAACAAGATTTCTCCTGGAAAAAAAAACTGAATATTACATCCACTTAAACATTGGCTAATATAAACTCTATGTTATATTTAGGTTAAAGGATATAAGTAATTAAGTTTAGTTGATTCAGTTATGTATTTATTTTTATGTGAGAAAGAAGAAGATACTTATTTCTTTAATAAAGTTAAGTAAAAGATTTGAATGATTAAGGTTTTGGGTTTTTAAAATATTATTTTTGTATTTTATTTAAAAAGTTAATTAATTTGTATTGATTACTTGCTCTTTTTAGAATATAATTTTCCTTACCTATAGCTAAACTGTGATCCCACCAGTTGTAGGTGCACTGTTTGAATTTTAATCCTAAATTATCAGTTATCTAAAAGGAAAGAAAACAGTTATTTATACTATTTATAAAATATGTAACCAGAGAAAAGCAATAAATATGTGAAATTTAAAAAATCATTTGTGATTATTCAAATAAATAAACATTAAACAGACAAGATATGAAAAAGAATAATTTTGAAAAACTTTGCAATATTGATAATTTAATTTGATAAAAAAAAGAAAAAAATATGTTGTATTCAATCCCTCTGATTATTTACTATTTGCAGAAATTATATATAACTTTAATTCATCAAGAGATGTTGATTTGTGAAGAGTAAAAGTTTAATTAATTTGAATAAACTACCATAATCTAAACAAAACAAGAATAATTTATCGAAAATCAATCAGCGGAATTACTATTATTTTAAAAATATTTTCAAAGCAATTTATTAAGCCAAAATTACAAGTTTATTCACTACATTATTAAGAAACATGGTGGGAGAAGACAGAAAATTAACCTTCCCTTCCCCAGCCCCGCGCATGGATCCTCCAATCCCTATAATCAATATGCTGAACAAAGATTTGGACAAACTTAAGAGACACTCAAATATTGAGAGTTGTGTAGCTTGCATACTTACTACTTCAGCATCAGGTGGTGAAGACAGAGTCCATGTGCAGAGGTAAACAAGCATAATAAGTAAAATTGGTGCCATCCATTGAAGTAACTGTTTATCAGTTAGCTTTAACTTGTGTGCAGATTTCACTCGGTAAGTGAGAGATACTCTGGAATTTTGTTTTTAGTTATGAAAAATTTGAATTCAATTACAAATCATCTTAAAAAAGTATTGTAAAAAAATTTAACAATATATATATATGTAACACATATGTAAATATTAAATTTAGCGAAGGGGGCAGAGATTATGTATCTTTGCATTTAGTTGTAAGTTTCCTAATTCAATATTTTAATGAAATAATAAATAGTATTGCTACAAGCATGAAGATTTTACCGCCATGTTTTCATAAGTAATGCGGTATATGTGATGCAAAATCCCATGTGGCGAGTCCACTTTGTGGCAATGCAAGAATACCTGTCAAGAACAGGAAATATGGCTGCCATCTGTAAAATTAAAAATTTTATTTTATTTTAATATAAAAAAGCAATACAAATATATATATATATATATATATAGTTATATATGCACATAAGATGTCCAGTACTCTTTTTTTGTGAAAAAGACATTAAATGCTAAAGGGACTCCTTTTCATAATATATTTTAATTATATAATTTTTTAAGGTTTTAATTTTAGGTTCATTGTTCTAGTATATATTTTGTATAAGTTTATTATTTGAATTTTATTTAAGTTTGCTTGAGAAAATTAATGAAATAAAAAAAAATACTATAAGACTACAAAATATAGATAATTTGAATTTTAGTCTAATTTTTTTCCAAACATGCCATAGCAATATTGTTATCCTTTAGTAACCAAAAACGAGGTTTTAAATATTTCAACTACATGTGACATTATTTGTAATGGATTCATAGACTTACTTCCATATACATTATAGCACATCCTAGTAATGTTATAGAAAGGAAGACAGGGCTTGCTACTCGAAACACCTTCACACGACGATGGTGTCTTGTGTAGATAGTGAGGCAGACTGTCAATCCCGCACACGATACGGATATTACCAGAAGAGATATCCTGTAACATACATAAAAATTTTAGATCATATATACATTTAGATAATAATTAAAGTGCAAAAACATACAGTTACATAAATTTTATAATTTTGTTGTGCATTTAAAACGGAGTTTATTTAAAATTTGATTAAAATTATTCCTTTAAAGGAAATTATTATATTCTGTAACATTGGACAAAATAATATGATTTCAGTCAATGTCAACATGAGGTAGGCTATGTACTAATTCATAGCATCCTTGGTTTTTTAAACATAAATGATTAGATCGGATATCTCTGTGACAATGCACATATGCGATCACTCTGTCAGTGTGGCTTGGTAGAGGGCACACTAGAACACCTATTTTTTCTTGTTCTGGTAACCCCTTGTAACTTGTAACATTGAAACTCCTCTCTATGATACTCTTCCTCACAACTTTCCTAGGCCTGTTAATATTCCATTCCTTCTAACTCTTTCTGAATCCTAATTTATCAATAACAATAGGCTTTAACTCCTTTTTTAATTACTATTTTCCTTGGTTAATATTGTGCTTAACAACTTACTTAACAAATAGAATTGGCACAACCCTTACCACAAATTATACCTTTTATCTCTTCAATTTGTAAAAATGCAATTATATGGTGTGCATATCTATATATCAAAAATTACTGCTTTATTATACACATGAACTTATCTATTTTTCAACAAGTTTTAACAGTTAATCATGGATGTGCTTTTGCTCCTCATCGAGTTTATTACCTACCGAAATGGCCAGTTATATGTGGCAAGGCAGATTTCTGGTCCTCTGCATGTATCGCAACCTGGTTGGCACTTTAAACATTCATAAGGTTCACTCCAATTTTCTAAGCCACCTTCCTCATACTCTTGAAATGCCACTGGAATTTCATTATGGAATAATTTTAATTAAACAGAATAATGATTTATGATGATATATCCAATGGAATGTAACATATTATCCCAATACTTTTTGTTTTCTTAATTGCAAATATCTTTACATCTGGACTTGAGGTATAATAGATTCATCATCTATAACATTGTTGGACTGAGAAATGTCTGTGTTAAATGTAGATAATTTTATTTATTCAAAAATGTGGTTAAATATTATGACTATTTTTTTTATTTTGATATTAAATTCCTGAACCCTTTACAGAAATCAAAATATAATAAAATAACATGAGTAAAATAGTTTCATTTAACCTTAAATAGTGTTTACATAAACGCAAGAAATCAATATTTATTTATTTACCTATTTATTTACACTTCATTGTTATACCTTAGGCTAAGGGTTACTTAGGCATGAAGGGGTGCAGACTAAGGCTGCGCTCATCGCTATCGCCGAGTGGGAGCCGAGGTTTTCTCGGCACATTACTTTTTTGGGAGGTACCTGTGCCACTTTGCGGGGAGGGAGCCAACAGCGGTTTGCCACCACTGCGACGTATGTGCCGAGGAGACGGCCCAAACGCACTGGAGGAGTGCCCATCCTGGCGGGAGCAGCGCCGAGAGCTGATGGCTATCGTGGGGCACGATCTTTCGCTTTCGTTATCGTGGTACGCGCTATGGTGGACAGCGAGAGGTCGTGGGGTGCCGTCCTTGCATTCTGCGAGGACATAATCACCCGGAAGGAGGCCACGGAGAGAGAAAGGGAGGCAGCTGCCACCCTGGAAATCCGCCGCCGGAGGCTGGCCTACGCGCGCAACCTTTCCCCCTGATAGCAAGCCCTGGGGAGGCAGATGTGGGACTAACTGCTGCCCCGGGTGCCGTGCTCATTGCACCGACACGGCACCATTTGGCTGGATCGGGTGTCTAAGCACCCGAGGAGAGGAGGCCTGAGAAGGCCACAGTCGCGCCGGGGTTCGCGAAAGATTGCGTTTTCGTGTTCCCGTGTCCCCGGCAAAGCAACAGCGTAGGTGTAACCTGGGTTTTTTAGTGGGTTCCCCGTGCGGCGAGGGATCCACAAAGGATTTTTCCCACGTAAAAAAAAAGGCTTACAAGAGGCAGACTTATGCCCGGTTTCTTGAAGACTGATCAACATAGGAGTTAACTGATCAGCTGTCAAATGGCTTTTCAAATGTTATTTAAATTGCCAAAAGGATGATTAAAAAATTCCCTCTCTAAATTGATCAGAATGGTCTTCCTAATGATGAGTTAACTTCTATGTTGATCAGTCTTTCAGAAACCGGGCTTTAATGACAATCCTTTTACTTTTCCAATATTCTCATATTGATAAAGATATGAAAGTTTTTACTTGCTTAGGCTACTTTATGTAATTTACCTTCAACTAGGGTACCATTAAATCCTTCAGGATGATGTAAGGAATAATACCCTGGTCTGCATCTACAAATGTATGACCCTCGTGCCCATCCGGCATGTCTTGTACTCATTTCACGATTCGGTTTATATGTACACTGTAGATTGAATTTGCATTGAAAAAAATTAAGTTTAGTGAATAAAAATTAGAGTATAGTTGATAAAGGTGGACTTACATAAGTAGTGTCATTAGGACACTTGTGAGTTCCATGAAAGGAATAAATTTGGTTATAATTTTCATCATCAATCTTTGCCTCACATTGATTGATCTCTAAATTAGATATATCGATATCCAATGACACAACGCCACTTAACCTGGTATAAAGACAATAAACAGATTGCATTCATATTCAGTTATTGAGCATTTCTTTTAATTTCAAGCAATGCTACAATTTTTAAAAGTTAGCAGACTTTTTAATTAAAGCCTTTTTAAAGCTATAATTATCTTTGGAAAAAAAAAATGTTTTCAGATTTACTTCTCCAAAACAGCGGTCTAGATAAGCTTACCATAAAATACTTATTTTACAAAGGTCTTACCCTCGAACTTTTGATACTGGAGCCGTGTATGATAATAGCCAACGTTCAGCTTCACAGCTATAATATGGATATGTCCACCAGCCACCCATTGCAGCTCCAGGTGGTGAGGGCATAAACTTAGATGATCTAAGTTCTTCTGTTTGATAAGCTGATACATACCTGAATTTCAAAGTTTGTATTTGGGTAATACAGCAGGGTAATAAATTTTATAATCATTTTTATAATATGTTATTTAAAGTCAGAACACGTAAACAAGAATAATGAATAAACTATGGAATATACTATATGTAAACATATATAATACATGTAAGTGTATAAAATAAACATTAAGAAATTTATAATAAACATTATTAATTTTATTTATATTATAGTTTAACTTCGGATTTTTCTCTGAAGACAATTCAATTCATCAACAAAATCAATTATACCGCTATTTTTTTAAACATAACTTTAGAGTTTAGTCATTTAGTCTATGTTATTACTATTTAGGTTTGCCAACCATACTTTAGAATAACGGATCTTATTTTATTTTTGATAATAATACTTTATTCTTTTGCATGAAAAAAAAGTATGTGAAAATATTCTATTTTCAATCTATACTGTGCTGTGATGCATAAAAAACTAAACACTTACAATGTATGTACCTGTGTGGATAATTATTGAACATTTATCGATATAGAAGCTTTTATATGTAACATAATTAATAAAAATATAATTAATATAATTAATTTAACAAAAAAAATTTATCTCAAGAAAATGTTATAACTTTTTTTTCTTAAATATGATAATATTTGTCATTTGATATATTTTTAAACATAGAATCTTTGAGGGATCAGTGTGTGTGTTACTATGTGTTTTCCCGGATTTTCATTTTAATGAAATGTTGCTTTTTTATTTAAATTTATATTGGGAATGTAAAGATAGCTTCCAAAAACTTAAGTACCTATGGTGAAAAACTGTGAGTGTATGCTAGAAGCATGCAAAGATAAATCTTCAAGAGGAGAAATAAATAAAATTTTGAAAAGTACTTTATGTTTATTCTTTAAACTTTATTTATTCTCTACTTGAAAAAATGGGATACTTTATTTTTCTTAAAAACGGCAACCCTATTACTATTATTTAATATTATTCTATTTTAAGTTTAACGTCTTTGAGTGCCTCGGTTGTGCACTAGTTTTTCAGTAGTTCGCAAATTTCGGTGCGCTAGTGTCATATCTTTCTATATAATATCATTGGTAGTGACATATCTTTGTATACAGCGTGTCGTTACCATCGCGACAATAAATGAACACACGTCTGACGCTACGAGCCAATAATCATAAAAAATATTAACGTAAAACAAAATCCATAATTAAAAAAAAATATATTTCAAACAAACTAATTAAGTAAAAAAGAAACAAAATTTCTAACATCCTATACAACTCGCGCCACAGTGTCGTATTACAAGCCTCTCCTAACAGTATGTTTTGTCTCTTTTAAATTCATTCAACCCATTCATATGCTTTGTGACCTTTACAAATGAACTTTACGTTACGCTTTTATAGGTAAGAGTGTTCTAAAATTCTTTGTTTTGGAAAATTTAATAACTCTGTAAATATTGATATTTAAAGAATTTAAACGTTTAATACAATTTTTAAAAGTTATCCCCTATATGTGTGTTCATTTATTGTCGCGATGGTAACGACACGCTGTATAATATCGCTCATGAGAATTCAATTTAATATTTTTTAATTGGATTGTTTACTAAAGATTCATTTCGATCATTAGTCATAGGTAACTAAACTGACCACTTTTTTTCTAACTCAAAACGGGACATTGATTTACAATGAAAATAAACATTAATTTTTGTTTTTTTTATTCCGAAAAGATTAAAAATTAAAAGATACAAAAAAATGTCATCAGTGCACTAACCGGGAATAACCGATCGCGGTTCCGCGCTGCTCATGATCACGTCTGACGAGCGTGGTTTTAAAACTCCGCGCTGTTTCGGAAAACGGGACAATTTTGCGTCCCGAAGATTTGTTCAGGGACAAAGGGACAGCTGTTCGAGAAAAGGGACAGTCCCGTTCAAAACGGGACGTATGGTCAGTTTAGTTATAACAGATAAAAATCATTTTATATACCATGGGTATTCAGGATCAGGAGGTTTGTCCATTTGTGGTGATGGTACGGCTATTGGTTCACCCGCACCATACCTTTCCCATGCTATTGCACCTTGGACTGTGCCGTCAGGTTGTAAAGCTACAGCACGGGCTCCTACCGCACGTTCTGAGGAACTAGCTCCCATTACTAAACTTTGAGAGACTGCTGTTAAGACATCTGCGAAAAGAAATAACAAAGAGATAGCGGGTCGACAATGACAAGATTCTGGAAACAATATTATGTACCAATCATGAAATGAATTAGTATAAAATGCTAAATTATATATACGGGAAGCATTTTAAAATAAACAAAATCTTGGATTGAAATGAATCGATTGAAAGTTAAAATATTTTAGAAATTTTATAGCGGTAGTTTTTTCTAATAATTTATCATAAGAGATTTTCTAATAATTTCATCATTATTATTATTTTCATCTGCCTTACTGCCTTTTTAAATTGTTGCCTGTCTCATAAATAATCATCATCAAAATCACCATCATTAAAACCTAACAAGAAAATAAATTTTAAAACGTAACTACAATGAATAAGTAGTTTTTTTTGGCCTTGTAAAGGATCCACCGGGCTTGAGGTTGCCAGGCGCTAAGATGCCTAGACATAGAGTAACTATGCTCAAATGTTCCCGAGAGGGGACCTCGGCTTGCGCTGTTACTGAATACCCATTTAGCATTCCGATCCGAGGGTGCCCGAGAGGGCCGGACCTCGGCTCGATCAGTAGCTGTAGTCTGACTAGGAGAACTTCTAAAGCTATTATTACTACCACTTCGGAAAGCATTGGCGCTGGGAGAAGGAGTGGCGGAAGAAACTCCAGCAACGCAAAATTAACGGGGGAAAACCTGCCAGGTACGTGGCGGAACCTAGTATATGTTTCCCACATTCACCGGCGAGTGCGGTGTGTTCTTGTGTGTTTTCGTAATTGCTTTATCCTGTTGATGGCAATAATTGTCTCATCCTCAGGGAAATCGAGGACGTATCGCGGTCTAAGCCATTTTCAGCGGAGTATTAGGGGTCTGTCAGGCGCCTACGACTAACGATTTGGGAATAAGTTGAAAAACTAACCAGCATTTTCTAGGCCGAGCTGATGTAGCAAGTTGGCGGCCAAATCAACTCTAGCTCTTGCGGCATCCCATCTTGCAGCGTGCAAGGGTGCACGCAAGCGGCCGTACCTATGAGTCACACAAAGTGCTCCTGTGGCACCTGTGGCAACTGCATGCACTAACCGCAGCGAAGATTCCACTTCTTCCTGAACACAAAGTGAAAATTCAGTGTCAGACAAAGTGAAAAAGGCGCATAGAGTGCGATAAAGATAAACTATTTGAAAATGCGTACCTAGTTCGGTCACCTGTATAAAGGCTTCTTGATAAAATCATATAAATCATTTTAGTAGGAAATCATCTGCATAAAAGATATATATACGGAAATATTACACACTATTTTATTTATCTGTAGCCTAATATGTAGGTAATTCGACGTAAATTACGTAAATTATTAGTGCGTGTATAATGATGGCTCCGTGACGCAGCTGTCAAGATATTGAAGTAATATCTGGGTGTTTGTCCGCGTGAAATTTATGTTTGTAAAACGTCCTTACAACACAGGATAATGTTATCCTAAAGTACGGGCAATGTTTTAAAAAATAAAATAAGTACGATTTATCGAAAATATTGTAACCCATTGATTTAATCAAGCCACAGACAGATATTTAACTAACGGACGGTCATCTTTAGTAGGAACATTAGAGATTCTGTATCCTGCAAAACTTAAACTTCGGTAACTGAAAGCAAATACAATAATTGATAACACTGCAGAGTTTCTTGCTGGTTCTTTTCTGAACAGATGTACCATCTAAATTTCTGATCTGGTGGTATAATTAACGTTTATAAGTACTTGAAGTAACCTAAAATATAATAGGCTTTTGTACATTAAGAGATAATATGTATCAGGAGATAATTTGTGTAGTAAAAACTTAACAAAACAAAATTTTGAAACATTTCATCAGAATCAATTTATAAAAATTTCATCGTGAATTTTGCAATGAAAAATACACGTAATTGCTTTAAGCGTCGTATTCGTCGTGATCGGAGTAGTAAATGTTCCTATCAACGTCAGTTCGATAGAGCGTTCACGGCGATTGAACTAAATATGTACAAACTACTCTAGCCTCGGCTCATCTAGAGACTACGAGGGTGCTTTTCTATTTAACGAGCTAACTTGTCCATTGTCCCTCTGCATTATTATGGAACAATGCAGTAAAAAAAGCAATTAATTTGTATACGATATTGCATGTTATAGTACAAGAATAATGATTATAAAAAAGCCTTATTAACATTTTTATGTAGGGTACTTATATTGACTGAGATTTACCTTCGTTTTTATGCCAAACACGTGTGAAGTTAACATTGGTCGGGCATAAATACGAATGAAGATAAAATTGTCCACAAAGCCATAAAATGAAATAAATAATCTTAATGCTTATCACAATTACTTAATTTTATTAATCTCAAAAAGCAGTAAGATCATGTTAAAGAAATTAAACGATTATTTGTTTAGCAATGGTCAGAGATTTTAACAAACAAGAAATCAGGAACATGAAAACACCCAGAACTGGACGAGTTTTCCTGCGTCACCAATTATAGAGCGATAACACAATAATACAATAAACTTTATTTAGAAGAAGCCTCATTACATTTTAATTTATTCCTCACCCCCACACTAGGCAATACCTGTCTGGCACATGAACGTATAAGCCCAGATTATTACTATAAGTAGATATTTTTAAAGAAGATCATTCATGATAAGAATACATACATAATGTCAATAAATGAAAAGAATTGTATCGGGTGGAAATCTTCCAAAGATACTTTGTCGTGATATGACAGGGTCATGTGGGGTTCTTACCCATTAAAACCCCCTCGGTGGCCACCTTCTGTACGTTTGGAGGGACTCCGGGATCTCTTATGGAACGCAACGGTGTCCCTCGGTACTGGGCGTGAGCATGCCTCGGAGAAGGGTAAACGTTCCCCGATTCCCTCGCCATCTTGCAGCAGTTCGAGGCCACTTCAAGCTGCTGCCAATCCGTGTCCCGTTTAGTCGTCTTTTACGACAGACAGGAGGTACCTTAGTCCTATTCTACGAGCCCCGGAACTACGGGGCTGAAATGAAAAGAATCTGGGAATCAAGTAGTCATCTTCGAAAGTTTTTATAAAATTATATTATTATTGACTTTTTTTGTATTATTTTAAAGTACCCGGAGGACCGAGCTTTGCTCGGTTTGTTTTTTTTTTGGTAAATCGTGTATTTTGGAAATTACATTTAGATACAAATTACTGGGTAATGAAATATGCATAATATTTTTCGATGTTACCGACGTAATAATAAGATTCACAAAAGAATATATATATATACAAGAATTGCTCGTTTAAAGGATTAGATTAGTCGTATCGCATTAAGAAGTGTGTGATTGTGTATGTAAAAGAAAATAAAATGGCAATATACCTATAAAACTGTTATAATATAATATACCTAGCAAGTGTAATGCATATAAAAATGTTACATGTAAATATATAATGTATAAAAGGCCTTTATCTCAGTTTAAAGGACTGTATGACCCACTAACAGGTTGCTGATGGATAATAGTGTTCGTATTAGATTTATGATTTAACAAATTACACATATTCCAAATTGTAATTATGTTATAGTTACGTAATCACTTATTAGTAATCTGTGATATGGTGTTATTAATTACATCTATTAGTAAAATCAAACGAATTCTAATCAAGACTTGCGATGAAATAGAACCTGCGACAGAAAATTCGATGAACCCGGCCGCAGTGAAATTCGTTTTCACTTTCAGTCTTTAGGACTTTGTAAACATTTGAACGGACACAAAGCCCGGGCAACAATTACCAAAGGGTTTTCAGTGTCTACTCCTTGTGTTTGTGTATAGATCCCCGCACTTTATCAAACGACAGGTTATTTGTTCATACACTAACCAGCACTTAAACAACACATTACGCCATTAAAAACAAATGCGACATTAATTTTTATTGCACAATTTTTCTTTTCGCTTTGTAATTTCTTTTATTTTTTCTCAGTTAAAAGAATATGTGGTGTGCTGTATTGGAGGAACTAAATTGCCTCTGATATTTCATGAACGAATCGGCTCACTCGGGGATGTTCCTAAAATGGAAGAACTAATACATTTGAATTTCATATTGTGAGTGAGGTGATATTAGAAACTTTTAATGGCTGTTGACTACGGCATAACAACCAAATTTTTAGCGGATATCTATGAGCGGCGGTAATCTCTTAACGTTTCCATTAAAATAACATTATACTGGGCGTATCGAAACTCATTTACTAGGTACCTCTTGTAAAAGATAGCTTAACACATTATTACAGTCGATACACTTAAGAACTCGTATTTGTATTTGGAAGTGTGTTCACGTTGAGTTCCCCGAGCGCAATTCATCAATTTGTTTAGATTGTGTAATGTACTAGCACGTGCTCCTATCACATGCGTATCAGTGGTCTCGGTTTAATACACTACCGGCACGTGTTATGATTACATACTACGAGTTGAAGACCCGCTAATGGAAAATAAACTAGCAACAATGAAATTTATATGTTTACATTCCGCACTAAGCAAACATGGATCTGAAACATATAGTAAGGGGATGAATAACAAAAATGAATGTTTGCCGAGTATTGAGGGCTGATGAAAACAACATGTTTATATGTATGTTAATACATACAGTTTTTTCTTTATTTGGTTGTGAGAATATGACATAATAAATATTATTATTTTTATATGTTCTGACATATATAAATAATATTATTTAATACACATAATAATACATGTAATAAAAGTTAGATAGTAATTTATTGAGATATTCTCCTAAAACCAATAATTTATTCGAGCTCATTGTCTAAGAAACATGCCAAAAAGTGCTTAAGAATTAATTTTGTGGTACCTAAAAATTATAGCGATAATTTTCCTAAATTTTTACATTCTTTTTCAACTAACAAGAGATTCAGATTGCCATCAATCACTTTCATGACAATCTTTATTGGAAATCTTTAAGAGTGATATTAATCTGACTAATATGCAGTACTAAGCACAAAGCTTTTAACAAATCACGGAGCGTTCAGGTAAAAAATCGTTTATCTCCTTATTTGTGTCGTTGATAAGCAAGATCTGACGGTGCTATTTTAGTGAAAAATGTACGAAGGTGGTTTGCTATCGCTGTAACAACTTAAAATTGTATTTACTTTTAAAGTATCTCTTGGGGGAAGTTTGTTTGTAGCTACAAGTTCAACTAACTTCAATAAGGTTGTTGTTTCTCGTGCAAATTGAATGAAGCTTTTTAATTGTCCTGTTACAAAAATGTATTTTAACAAAATAACACAAGCGTTTAGCACAATTGTGTTATTGGTATAAATGTGCATGAAAATATATCTAAAAGTAAGTAAGTAGGTACCTAAGTCTTAATTTAGCAGTGTTTCCATTTCCGTCTGGGATTCCTCAAAGAGGGTCAGAAAGTGAAATATGAATTATGAGCTTTAGAACTTTAGAACTAACTTAATCAAAACAGAATTTTCACACGACAGATTCAAAGCACGTAACTACGCATAAGCTGATGTAAATAATAAACTTATTATAATAAATGGTTTACTCTCGTGAACACATTTTAATACGCTGGTATGGGAATATGATATCATCCTTGCAATCTCGAAATTTTAGTCTGTAATTTCACGTACTAATGAACAACCAACATTTCAATTCTAAGTTGCAATGTTGGTTTCGACTTTCGAGTATATAAATACTAACTTCTTAACTTTCAAGCACCGCACCAAGTTGAATGTGCACGTTATTACGGGTGGTTAAGTGTTGTTTTATTACACTAGGGAATTAGCCTGCACTTCAATTTTGTATGAGGATTAGTAAGTTAAATTTATTTTACCAGCACGTAACCTCGATTTGGACTGGGGCAATATTATTTTTTACCTTGGACTATGCGATAACTTTCAATCGTTTAGCGTTTAGTAATTACAATTAATATTATAGCAAAAATTCAGTCAGTATGTTTAAAGTATGACCAATGATGTTTAATAATGTAGATGATGCAGGTCCATAATGCGTGGCGTTTAAAAATTATTACGCTTTACGTTATCCATACTATACTATAATATTATAAGTAACTCTGTCTGTCTGTCTCGCTTTCACGCCAAAACTACTGAACCAATTTATATGAATTTTGGTACACAGATAGTCTAGAGCCTGAGAAAAGACATAGGCTATTTTTTAATTGGAAAAAGGGTTATAAAGGGTTCTTAAAGGGGATAGATATTTATTTAAGGGCCTCAACGCGAGTGAAGCCGCGGGCGAAAAGCTAGTATGACGTAAGATATAGCAGTCTATATAACTACACCAATTGGTATAATTTCAGTATCTCAGTTTCGGTGCGCTGGTGTCATCTCTTGTATATAATATCGTTGAGTATGACTATAATTAAAAGTCTTGAATGCATTTATACTGTTGTACTGTTGTACATAGATTATTAATAAATGCAATGATTGGTGCTTTATACATCTACGCTATAAATAAATATACATTAATGAATTAATGTGATTACAGTTCTTTAAAAAGTATAAGTGTCAAGAATATTTTTTCGTTCTTTAAACGCTTCCTTTGATTTCCAGTTGAAATTAAAAATGTGTTTAGTTTTATTTTCGCAGTGACGATTACTGTTTAAGATATAAAAGACGCATAGAGTAGACTGCGCCTCACGATTCGACGACAATAGTGACAATATCATTTTTACGTCAGAAGCTGGCAAACGAGTAGACTTTCGACTGAACGTCTGGTGACTGCGGCCATGTATATATATATGTCTTATCTATGCTGCGGCCTATGGGTAGTAACAACATCGAAAATGACTTCAAAAGATTAAGAGTAAGACAATTATAAAAATATCAAATAAGATTTTTTAATTTTGACAGGCACCCCGAAAGATTCTAATTAAAATCAGGAGTCAGAATAACATATTTTTGGATCCCATCAAAGAAATGGGTGGGTTCTTGAATGTTCTCCAGAATGTAAGTTAGTGTTTTTGGTTTTGGTTTTTGGGACAAATGCGTATTTTGGGGACGTTGATGCATCTGAACCTGCTCCAGGCGAGAGCGGAAAATTTGATGCGATACCAACTTTTAAGCGGGCCGACCCTGTGACCCCGCTCAAAAGATATGCAAGATGATGAATAATTCAACTTTGCATCGTTCTCCCTTGAGATTTAAGGTAGAAATATTTTCAAAGCCGCGTTGCCACGTTCCCGGACCCATTCATGCAAAAGGTAGACGCTGGTCACCTCGCCTCAATACAAAACAACAAATGTAATGTTTCCGATCCATATCTTTAGCTGTGGTACGGTCATCCGAAGTAACACATGGTAGACGGTAAGTGGGATCCACGGTAACGATGAAACATTATAACACTATTTTCGTATGATGATTGAGGTTTTTTAAATTTCAACAAAGCAAAACTTTGAATATTATAAAAATAAAAGCACAAGACAATATAATTCAGCAACTCTTAAACGTTTTTGGTGCTGACTGAGTGGTCGATACCCCCTGCGTTGGTCGGACCAAATTCGCTCCACTCACAATGTTCACGCCGCCGAGGACAGATCGACGTGGCCTGACTAATGCTCGGTTCCTATATTCAACGAACGGCCGTTAGTTACATAACTTCGTATCTTTCATAACGACTCGTTGTGACGACTTCATAATAACGACGTAACTAACGGCCATTCCTTGAATATAGGAACCGGGCAATAGTCCGACAGGAAATTCTCAAGCGCTGAGGTCATCCTCAGCACTGAGGTTACACGACGCAAGGAAGGAAGGAAACTTTTTGTGTTACACTCACCCGATATGCTGTAGCGTTGAAAGCACCAGCTGGCGGGAGCGAGAGGAGTGCGAAGTGGAGCAGCAGCGCGCTGGACATGCGCCGCGGCCCACCCATCTCTGCGGACCATCCGCCCGTTCAAGGTTACGTCTGTAATGGACAAACAATCGACTTCAACATTGAAACAAACTGCGTATACCAATGGAAGATCTGGAAACAGAGAAATAAGGCTCGCAAAAGACTAGTTCGGTGACACTTGTAGTATCACAAAACTGTAACAAACACCAATTAATGTTTCGAATGTTTGATGTTTTAGCGGTTAGAAGACTACATTACAAAAAACTACATAAAATAAAACAATTATTGACAGTATTTTTTTAAATAACATAAAAATTATAGTATGAGGCATTTAATAAGAAAAAGTATAAGTAATCTAAAGTTAAGCAAAGTCACCCTGTACAGGTTGATTTTATAGATGACGGAGATATTAACAGAGCATATGCAGAATTTGTATCTAAATCTGAATCTGGTACATACTTGTGACCTCATTTTTTTTCTTAAGAAATTCCTGCCTTACGGGGTCATTGTAATAACCTATTGACGAGTACTAAAACTTTTCGCTGGACGCATAATTACTAAACCGCCTATCAATAGGGTGACCACTCTTAACGGGATAAACAAACAATGTTTGAACTGATATTTTTCTGATTATATGTTGTCAAAATAAAGTTTTAATAATTTTATTTTAGAATTATGGAATGCTTATTTAACATTATGTCAAAGTAAGTACTTCGTCTAAAAATCAACCTGTGTGTGGGACATATATTCTGGGCAAAGACCTCTGTACAGAGAGTATTAGGGCCACGCAACAGTATTCGCTGTTGCAGGCATGGGCAGGTGTGTCCGGGCTAGAACCATGACCTCACAGAAGACCGACGTGAAATAGAAGTGTTATCCTTCTCCGTTTCGTTTGGAGAGTCAGGTAGCCGGGGCGCACTTTATTAAAAACAATTATTTTTTATCTAAATTTGTATATTTTAAAGCAGCAAAAAATAAGTGGTAATCTTGTATATACGTCTATTTTAGGACATAGCATAGTTTTAACCTATTGTTTTCAAAACACGTATTCGATTCATTGTCTCAATAGGAGTATTCATAAATGTTATGTATATGAGGGTACATAATTATGTATTACGCGAGGCGCTGGCCGAGCGCGAATAAAGACAGTGTGTAACTGACCGCCCCGTAGTTTGCTTGCATCTCTAAATACATAACAGTGGCGACGAGGATAAAAAAAAAACATTATAGTCAATTTTAAAAAGGAAAGTAAACATGTCTTCGGGAATATCCTTCGGTATCCTATCAACTTTCAATCACGACTCGCAAGATTGGAACAGCTATAAATCGCGTTTAAATCAGTGGTTTATCGCAAATGACATTACCGACGAAAAGGACAAAGCCAAGGTCAAGCGTCGTGCGATATTATTGAGTGCGCTTAGCGAATCAACTTACAAGCTCGCAAGCGATTTAGCCTTACCTAAACGGATCGAGGAAACAGACTACGAAGAAATACTGGGATTGCTTGATAACCACTTTACACCTAAACGAATTGGATTCTCGGAGAAGTCGTTATTTTATTCGGCGGTGCAACGAGTGGGTGAAGGTCACACTCAATGGGCGGCCAGACTTAGAGGGTTGGCTGCACACTCTGGATTTAAGAATTTGGAAGAAGCTCTGTTGGACAGATTCATCATGGGCATGGTACCGGGACACGAACGTGATAAATTGTTTACCCAAGATCAACGGGAGCTAACTTTGGCGAAGGCAGTTGATTTGGCAGAGAGCGTGCGATGTGCACGCGGCCAGCCTCTCGAGCGCATTGTCCACACCGGGGAACCACAACCGTCTGCGCGCCTCGGCTTTCATTTTAACGACGCCGAAATGGGAACTGTGCAACTCCTTACATATAGTTTCACGTAACGAATCCGGTATAATTATCTTGTGGCCTCGCATTAAAATACCGTTTTCATACGACAATTGGAATCTTATGTTAAAGTATGGTTTAAGTTGCACATCCTTAACGCTTTTAGGCCAACCGTTAAGTATAAAATATTTTACTTTGCTAAGAATAGTATCGTTGTCGGTTTCTCGTCGCAAGTCATTCGCGGTCACTGGCAGGCTACCGTCTACCACGAAATTTACGTAAGCAGCCGGATCCTCAACGACCTTCTCATCCTCGATGCGATCTAACTCTCGTGAATATGGTGCATCAAGGGAAGGGTGCAATCATTCACCTCGAAACTCGCTCGCGACAAACAATCTGCACTGTTATCACTACTCTTAACATATTCGATGCGATAAATGTATGCCGATAAGAATATTGCATAACGTTGAAGGCGGTTTGCGGATATTTCGGGAATACCTCGATATGGACCGAAAATTGTGAGGAGTGGTTTGTGATCTGTTCTCAATATAAACGGAACCGATCTGCCATACAAGTATTGATGAAACCGTCGGACTCCGAATATTATAGCGGTCGCTTCTTTTTGAATTTGGGCGTATTTTTTTTCAGCTACGTTAAGTGTCCTCGACGCATATGATACCGGCCTTTCGACACCGTCTTTGCCGACTTGTGATAAAACGGCACCTAAGCCCAAGGGTGACGCGTCCACGGTTAATATTAATTCCGCGTCGGAATCAAAATGCGCCAAATAGCCATCAGTGGCCATGATGTTTTTTATTTTATTAAAAGCTTCGTCATGTGTTGGCGTCCAGTCCCATTTTACATTTTTATGCAATAATTTATACAAAGGATATAGGATTGATGCAGCTTGTGGTATAAAATTTCGATAATAATTTGTTAACCCCAAAAACGACTGAAGTTGTTTAATGTTTTGAGGTCTGTTGAAGTTGTTTAATGTTTTGAGGCTGTTGCCGCCGCTGTGGGAATCGAACCCACGTCTTCGGCATTCGCGGCCTGACGCTCTAGCTACTAAACGGCTAATAGCCACAGCTAAATTTATGAAAAGCAATGGCGACATCTCTCGTTCGAATTATCGTTGTAAAACGATATTCGAAATTGTTTGTATGCTGGAAAGGATATAACAATAGATGCGCCAAGCATTGCTTCAAATGCTAAATAACAATGTAGAAAGAAGGCGTTAAGATTTTCCTCGCTGTGGCTATCAGCCGTTTAGCTCAGTAGCTAGAGCGTCAGGCCGCGAATGCCGAAGACGTGGGTTCGATTCCCACAGCGGCGGCAATCTTTTCGTACTTTTTCTACATGTTTTACTGAACTAGGGGTTCTCAAACCTTTACTTACTGTTAATATTATAAGACTATACAGAAAATGAAAGATATCAATCAAATAAAATCTTTTATTGTTAATGCCAATATAATTTTAAACTCAATTACGTACATGTACAAAAATAAAAAGTGGAAACTTATATGTTTATCTTACCCCGTCAAATACTGGCGGGTAAAGACGGAATGTTACAATAAATCCTAAAATACTAAAAGTAGCGATCTATAGACATAGCAACATAACTGATTAAAAATAATAAGTATGTATACAAATAAAAAACTAGTAACTACCTCGCAAATGAAGTTACACGACATGGGGTAAGATTAAAACACCAGATGTGTTCGCGTAAAGTTAACAGCGTAGATATTCCCTTATAACACATAAACGATCCCTCAAAACGAAAAGTGCCGACTGAGGTATGGGACGTAAAAAATGGGGGTCTTATGAATGTTGCCTGCATTGGATAAATTACGCAAAATCTGTATTTATTGATGCCTTTTTGTGTTACCCCGTTTTTCATCTTCACTACACTCACCCTACTGAGGTTTGTACTCCCAGTGGATGTGTATGTATAAGCTGGAAATTTATAAAAGCTTTACTCGAACCCACCTTTTACAATAAAAAATAATTTCAAGTTACACTTTTTGAGCGTGGTGACAAGAAAACAATTTTTTTTTCATTTATTGAATAATTGAGAAGTTAATATCGTTTAAAATATTTTTATTATCTTACAATACATGTAGGTTATTCAGGAATTTTTATCATTCAAAATATAGGTTTATGGTAACTGAAATAAGAAACATAAGTTTGAGATTTGATATCCTCTAAACTCTAAATCATCATAATATGATAATATAATATCTATCCGTGCGAGCTTTGACAGTCGTACCATATACATACAGGTTAAGCGAACGCTCGGCTGAGCTTCATGGTAGGCGGAGTGGGGGATGTTAGGTTTTATTTTCGTTACGGAATTTCTTGATACGGTGGCCACGCTCAAAGCCCGCGATAAAAGCTATGCAATAGCTTAAAATGTATATATTTGATTTTATTAGATTATTTGCAAAGTAAATAATTTGATGACACATAAACACCGCGAATTTGATCAAGTATTAAAACAAAGTCGCTCCCGATGTGTGTACGCTTAGATTTTTAAAACTACGCAATGGATTTTAATGCGGTTTTCAGCAATATAAAGAGTGATTCAAGCGGAAAGTTTGTATGTTGTATTCATGCATATAGTAGAGAAAAGCCGATAAATTCAGACATTTGTAATGTAATGTCTTAAAAAACATATTTTTATGCGCTTACATTGCAAATGCTGGCTAAATCTTACGAAATAGATGAAATTAATATACTACGGATTTCTATATTTTACAAGTATCGATAAAAAAACAGTCAACACAAAAGAAGCCGGGGCGGGTCGCTAGTATAAAATAAACAATATGTCTTTGTCTGTTGCAAGTATTTCTTTTCAATTAAGAATTGCATGCACTTGCGGGTACTCCGATCCGGTGCAATAGTTGGACTAAATGATGAAACCTAAAAACTGTCTTGCATTGTGAATAAGTCACTAATTAATAATCTAATTTCATTCGTAGAAGTAGCAAAATTTATTTCACGTTTTCGCTTATATTTGCCATACAAGCCATTTTTTCATATAAGTAAATAAAAATATTATATATATTTTTTAAATATTTCGAAAATAAAATACAGTTACAACGTCAGTAGGGGAACTTTTGAAGCATGTACTGTATTCAGATATGTAGTTTTTATTTTATATATTTGAAACAAAACTCCTAAATAGTCTGTT